AGGCAGGGTGACCCTGGGAGGATGCTCTGCTGTTGTGAGGAGTTTGAGCAGACACATTGCCAACTGGATGGCACCTGGTGAATTCTCAGCATCTATCCCTTGCAGGCAGTGGAAACTGCTCCTTTCCTTTCCTTTTTCCCTCTCTACAAGACTCTTGCTCTATGCCTGGGCTGGTGCTGCCTCTGATGGAGTAACTGGCTTTGGGACACAGGGCTGTGGGACATACGTGCCATTGTTCAGGGAATGGAGGTGAATTCCAGGGTAAGAACAGACTTTGCAGAGGAATAAAGTGCCTGCAGTTGGTGTTTGGTCTGGAAAATCCACTCCCATCTGTTCCAGATGTTTCCAGTTGTGTTTATAGCATGGAGCTACTGTGCTGCTGTGCTGGAAAAGATAATAAAAGATGGGGTTGTGCCTCCACAACCATTGTGCAAACAGGCAAGAGCATCTATGGAATATGTTCCCTTTGATTGCCTTAGAAAAGATGCATAAATAGTGATGAATAATTTAATGAAGAGCTGAAGCTTTCCAGGTTGCTTGGTGTGTCCCTGAGTGCTGCTTAGTGTGCTGTGCTGGCAAGGAGCATGTCCCAACCCAGCAGTAGCTGCTTGGGGTATGGTACCTTTCCTAAGGCAGAGAAATTGCTGCTTCAGATCCTTCGACTCCTGGGATTTGGGCAGAAACAGCCTGTGTGAAGGGGAGCTGGGTCTGGGCTGGACCTAAAATTGGGGGCCAATGCTCATGTATGTTTCTGGGTATGCTGCTTTATTATTTACTGCCTGTAAAATTCAGTGAAAAAATGTGCATGTCCATGTGCTTAGGTACTGGATTTGAATCTGGCCTATATTGCTTTGTTCTTTTTTATCCATGACATATTTGAGGCTTGTTTTTGGGAGTTGATCTTTGGACTAAGAGCTAAGGACGAGGCCAGCAGTGAGTTGGCAAAGATGTTTGAGGTAGAGGAAAACTCGGCAGAGGTGTGAGAGTGGCTGCTGAGCTGCTGCTCAGGAAATAAGACTCAGGTTCTTCGTTTTATGGCTGAATTTTGGGGTTTATTTTTTATTTTCTGTTCAGGTAGGCATTGGCATGCAAGGTAGAGACCCTGAGGCATTCTGATTTCTTGCTGTTCATCCATTCAGTATTCATACTCTCCTGAATTTGAATGTTCCCTTAAAATAGTCTGCTAAGTGTTTGCTGCTGCTCTTGGAGGATCTTGCATGGAAGCAGTGTGGATGGGAAGCAATGTGGATATGAAGGCCTTGTCTCTTTCTGGGCTTGAGTTGGTCCTTATTCCACTGAGGAGCCCTTATTCCAGTGAGGGAATATAAAGAAAAGGTGGTGTTTTATGCCTGGTTTTTGTCAGGAAAACAGGTTACCAGCTCGGTCCCAGTTGTATTAGGATGGAAAGCTCCCACAGCGACTGCCCAGCAGTGAGCAGCAAATGTGTGCTTAGCCTCTAAGGAGATTATTTAACACAGCTCCATTTTTTTTTTATTATTGTTATTTTATCATTTTTCGTATTTACTTGTCAAGAGTGGATTTGCAGCTGTACCCTTGGAACGTGGGCAGGGTCTGAGTTTGTGGGGGAAACACAGCAGCAGGAGTTGTGGGCAGCACAGCAGAAGCACAGCGATGGCAGCGGCATGGAATTAGGAGTCTCTGCTGTCCACAGAAGCAGAACAGAAGTGGAGGGAAAAGGGGAGGGGAAGGAAGGCAACTACTAAAACCCTTCCCCAAATGGATGAATGAATGGGTGACACACATAAATGACTGCTGTGATGGTCTGACTTACTGTAGCTCGGTCTTGGATAATCCTCATATGTCAGATTTCTGTAAAGCAGCATGTGACACAAAGCTGGCCTCCCAGCAGACAAGTGTGCTGTGCTGGTATTAAGGGGCTGGCCAGAGCCTGGGCTGTGCACTGGAACGCGTGTGTGTCCGTGTGGGGTGTGCCTGCTCTCCTCCGTGCGCGGCTCGGCCGCCACCGCCGCCAGGACAGCGTCAAACTGGGATTCCAACAACCCTTGCCTATTGCATAGACAGCCCCAAACCTGCCTGTGTGGCTGTACTCTTGGGGAAAAAAGAGGAGGGGGGAAAACCCCCCCAAACACCAGAAACAGGAAAACCCCCAAAGACTTCTAGCTGGGATTACCTTGCTCACCCCTGTCACCACTGATGTCCTCCCAAGGTTAGGACTCGAGCTGCGTGAGGCCAGCTTAAAGCAGACGCCATGTGAAAGGAGCTCCATGAAGGAACAGCAGGCACTGGAAGGAGGACAGGAGTGCCCACAGGAACATGAACAACAACTTGCAAGTTAACCTGCCCAGGACCTGGGCTGGTTCAAACAGCTCACTGCAGGAGAAGTCTGAGCATTCCTTTTTTCTTTTCTATTACTATAGGATGGAGGACGAGGCAGTACTGGATAGAGGGGCTTCCTTCCTTAAACATGTATGTGATGAAGAAGAAGTGGAAGGTAAGAGACTCGGACTGCTGGGGAGGAAGGGTGCCTTCACTTTGGTGTTTGTATGTAAAGGTGGGCACAGTCAGAGGGCAGAGACACAGGGAACCTTTGCTTTGCCTAGAAATTCAGCCTAGAATTGAAACACTGGTAAGCTTGATTGGGTCGGAACTGACTTTTAAAAGAAATCCTCTCTTTCAGTTCAGGAGTGAACATTGTTGTGTGCTTCCACTTCCCCCAAACTCCTGTTTGCTGTGTCTCGCATAGTGGCTGTGAAACATCAGAGCTGTTTGCTTTGCTTTCTTCTATGGATAGAGTTTTGGCAACACCTGCCTATCACCTATCAGTGCAGGAAAATGGTGTCAGGTCGAGAAGCCAAGTGGAAAAACCAGCTGAATTTCTAGCAGGTGTTGGGGTGACCACAAAGCAGCAAGTGGATGTTTGCCTGGGCTATCCTTTGCGCTTGAGAGGCATAAAGAGAAGTGTTTTCCGTTGAAGAACTTCTTAACAAAGCATACAGTTTCCTCACTCTTTAGGAGAAGAGTAGACTCCCTTGGAAGTGATTTTGTTTTCTCTCTAACTAAAAACATTGTGAAATCCCAAAGGTAAAAGGAATTTAAAGGAGTTTAAGGTGGTTCCAGGAAAATTATGAAGCTGATAGGAATGAATTATTTGCAGCAAATTCTCTCTTGTTTTCTGAGGTTCAGTTGACCCTGAGCTTGATAAAGTAGCGGGAGAGAAGGAGGGGAGGACTCTACCTAGAAAGGAAAGGATTTCACCTCACTGTGCACTATCCTTCCCCTCCTGACTTCAGGGTATAATTTTGCTCTAATTGCTTTATTTGCAAACAAATGCCTGTGGCTTTTTGGTTGGAAATGTTTTGAAAGGTGTAGGGTTACAGCCGTGGCATTGTCACCGGTAATGGACAGGAAAGCATCCAGCAGCAGGAGAGCAAATAGTCTCCAAAAAGAGGAGTTAGGACACTTCCAGCAAACCAAGCCAGTCCTTTCCACGAAAATGCTTGTGTTTTCTTCCTCTCTGGGCTGAAGTAATCTGTGCTCAGCCGCTATAAATCATCGTGTTGGGTTTAATGAGGCCATTTGCTGTCTGCAGGGTCGGGTTTGTATTAGCCTCTTGCTTGGAGAATAATTGACACTTTGGCACAGCAGAAACACTGGAGAGGAGAGAGAGGGAGAATATTTCTCATGTTTTATTGTCTTAAGTGTTGCCACATGCTGTTGTGGTGTGTATTGGCCACATGTGACACTCCAGGAACATAATACAAGTGGTTGTTGGTGAAGAGGAGCACAGGAGGGTCCTTTGGGCTGTCTGCAAGGGGCTGTGAAAAGCTTGTGGTTAACACTTGAAGGAACATTTGTGGCTGTGGTGTGTTTATATCCAGTGTTCCAGTGTGGATATCCTCATTTAGTTTAGTTGAGCTAACGGACCAGTTGCAGCTCATCTCGCTGGGGGCAGGAGAAGAGGAGGTGAAACAACTTTTTCTAATTGCCCACGACAGGCCCTGAGCTGGAGCCACTCGGCTGAGCCTCTGGAGAGCCCTTGAGCTGTGCAGCCAGCTAATTCCCTCCTGCCTGCTAAAGGCAGTGCCATGATTCTCCCAGGCTTCTGCCAGTCACCCAAGGAGCTGATGCTGTGGTGTCTGTCAGGGTTGTGGGGCACGGATGGGTCAGTCAGGGAGTAGCTGCTTCACTCTGCAGTGGGACAGCCTGGAATTCACAGCCTGTCTGGCAAATGTGAGGCATTGCCACAGTGCCAGTATGCATTAAGGGCTTTGGCACTTTGAAGAGATCTTACTTGTCTCCTAGTTTCCAGCCTAAATGATTCTGTGGTTCTGTGTGTGTCCTCAGCTGTGTCTGACTCTGCACAGATCTGTGCAGTCAATGTTTGTGTGTATCCAGTGTGCACATTGGCACCTCAGGTGCAGTCATGGTCTGTATGTATGGAATGAATTCTAGACTCACAGACTGTTTTGGGTTGAAGAAACCTTAAGGACCATCTAATTCCACCCCCCTGCCATGGTCAGGGACACGTTCCACTAAATCAGGTTGCTCCAACCTGGCCATGGACACTTCCAGGGCTGAGGCAGTAACAGCTTCGCTGGGCAGCCTGTCACAGTGCCTCAGCACCTCACAGGGAAGAATTTCTTCTGTATATCTAATCTGACCGTTCCCTCGCTCAGTTTAAGATCCAGTGGAAGGGCTGAAACATCAGGGTGCAGACCTTTGGCTGACACTTGGTGCAGATGCTTTTAAGCCTCTGCTAGATCTCTGCACTGCCGGTGAGGTGGTTTCAAGGAGGAGAGCGTCTGTCTGGATACCTGGAGCTGTTAGCTCCAAAGTGCCTTCCTTTACCTCTCCACTTTCATTCTGTGGTTACAGCTTGCTGTTCTAAAAGGCTCTCAGGAGCTGTATCCTCTGGAGAAGGAGGTAACAGCAAGGGGAATTGTTACCTCCAGGTGTGTGTTCTTTTCCTGGTACTTTTTAGCCTGCTTTCGTGAGGAAGTAACATATATATCCTGAAGTTCTCTGCTTCTCTCTTCTTCATATTCCTCTCTCAACTACTTTTTTTGCAGTCAATATTGATGAAATGTCTCAGGAAGGCTCTTAATTCACTTAATTTCACTTAAACTTGAGTGGAGAAGGGAGACTGTTTTCTTTTCCCTTTGCGAGAGGAAAGGGAGTTGTAACCTTTATCCGAAGAGAGCTGATGGTGTAGTGATAGGGCAGTAGTACCTGGGGATTCCCTGGCTGCAAGAGTTTGCAGGAGAGAAAACTCTACAGGAAAGCATTAGAATGTGCTTTGAAGCCAGGCTGCTTTTGCTGCTCATGAATCAGTTTGATTTCAAGCAGGTGGAGACAGAATGTTGAAGCTGTCACTTTGAGCATCCCTCTTTGGGCATGTTCTATGGGAGAGGAGAGGAATGGCCTTTGCTTGGTCAGTGATACCCTCAGGTTTTGTCTGTGGGATGGAGATAGCAACTCCAGATGACCACATCACCTGCTGATTTGATTATCATAGCATTTTAGGGGTTGGAATGGACCTTAGAGATAATCCAGTGCCAGCCCCTTCCGTGGGCAGGGACACTTCCCACCAGAGCAGGTTGCTCAAGGCTTCATCCAGCCTGGCTTTGAATTATGTAGTGGTGTGGGGGAGAGGGAAAGACTTGGTCTTTTAAGGAGGGGGAAAAACTGGCATTTCTGGTCAGGAGGATGTTGAGACTGTTTCAGCGTAGGACAGTTGTGGGTCATGCCCTTGCTGAGTAAATGTGATGTTGACAGAAGGTGCACATACCTGACAGAAGTACATCCCTCGGGCCTGCTCCCAGGGGATTGTTCAGTGCATCTCTCAGGTGACACCTCAGCCTGGTCCTGCACTGGAATGTGCTGCTGTTTCACCAGTGATATCAGCTGTTGACATTTGAGAATTACTCCACTCCAGCTCCTCCCTGCTGCCTGTACCAGTGGGAAGGCTCCATGATGGATTTGGTACATGTTAGCTAGGAGGAGTTGCTTGATGGAAGTGCCCAGAAACACAACCTGGTGAGGCAAGGGATCTGAGGCAGAGTGTGGAAGGAAAGCAAGTGCAGGTCAGCTTTCCCAGGGGAAATCAGGAAGAGGCACTGCCCTGAGCTGTGTGAGAAAACCCTTCCCATTCATTTCAGGCACTGCACGTTCCTTTCCTTGAAGGTAAGGCTGTGCTGCTGTAATGCCACCACGAGGAGTGCTGGTATGTGTGACATAAACAGATTACTTAATAACCGATTTTGCAAGAGGGGAAAAGTAAAGCTCCACCTTATCCTCTGAGATAAGGTATTCTTGGCACTCTAAGCATAACTTCCCCCAGGCGCACTGCCGCCCTGACTCCGTGGTGGGGTGGAGGATGCTGGATTCAAGTCTGGCAACTCCACTGCTGCAAAGCCTGAGGAGCACTCCAGCTCCACATGTGAGGAAACAGGGATCAGCACGCCTGTCCTGCCTTCCAAATGATTGGCACAGTAAAGGTTTTGAGAGCATCTCTCAGATCCCACTGTTACAGGAGTGAATTCCACTGCTACTAATGGAAACTTTTTCATGGATCTTGTTACCGTTGTGGGATACTATTGTGCTGCTAACTCTGCAGAGAGGCTAAACCAGGGATTTTGCAATGACATTCCATAGCTACTTGTTCCATTTTAGCACTTTCCTCCTCCTTGCTTTCTATTCTTGACCTGCTTGTGTCATTGCACTCTGCTGGTAGAAAGCTGTGTGATACCATAAGCCCAAGATTAGTCCTTGATGGTTGGATCAATGAGGAGAGAGGTTAAAAGGGCACAGATAACTGTGAACATCTTTACCTTTATTAACAGCAGGCAGAAAAGAGGAGAAATGAGCTGTATTTACCCGTTTGCTTTGATTTCTCTTTCTCCTCTCATTCCTGCCACCATCTTTGATCCTTGACTGTAGGCCGACCTCCTCCATATTCAGAAATAACCTGTTTCATATCAGGGGTTTTAATTGCTTCTGAAAAAAATGTGATTAAAGAATTAATCAGGTAAAAGTCTTATCACAGAATGTGCTTCGTTAATATTCTTTGGTACCTTAAATTCATGGGCAGAGATAAACCAGGCTGTGTTTGGCTGTGGTAGAACTGACATGGGCTTTGCTCCTGCAAAAGCCAAGCACCAAGGACTCAGGCACTACCTTTTTGCTCTCCTTCCATACATCAGCTGGCACAACTTCCCTGTGAGGGTGCTGAGGTGCTGGCACAGGTTGCCCAGAGAAGCTGTGGCTGGTCCACCCCTGGAGGTGTCCAAGGCCAGATTGGACAGGGCTTGGAGCAACCTGATCTAGTAGAAGGTGTCCCTGCCCATGATAGGAGAGTGGAACGAGAGGTCATTGCATGGGACATCGTTGTGGTCATTGCTGACGTCTTTGCTGTGCTGTCAGGAATCAGCATTAGCTCTGCAGTGCTGGTGTGGGGTGAGGAGGTGTTGATGCCTGCCTACTCCATGCTCG